AGCATTGTGTGAGTATTGTGTGAGTATTGTGTGAGCATTGTGTGAGTATTGTGTGAGTATCGTGTGATTTTTTCGTGAGTATTGTGTGAGTATTGTGTGAGTATTGTGGGATTATTGTGTAATTATTCTGTGAGTATTGTGTGATTATTGTGTGATTATTGTATAAGTATAGTGTGAGTATTGTGTGAGTATCGTGTGATATTTTCGTGAGTATTGTGTGAGTATTGTGGGATTATTGTGTGATTATTGTGTGAGTATTGTGTGATTATTGTGTGATTATTGTATAAGCATTGTGTGAGTATTGTGTGAGTATTGTGTGAGTATTGTGTGATTTTTGTGTGAGTATTGTGGGATTATTGTGTGATTATTGTGTGAGTATTGTGTGATTATTGTGTGATTATTGTGTAAGTATTGTGTGATTATTGTGTAAGTATTGTGTGAGTATTGTGGGATTATTGTGTAAGTATTGTGTGATTATTGTGTAAGTATTGTGTATGTATTGTGTGAGTATTGTGTGATAATTGTGTGATTATTGTGTAAGTATTGTGTGATTATTGTGTAAGTATTGTGTGATCATTGTGTAAGTATTGTGTGAGTATTGTGGGATTATTGTGTAAGTATTGTGTGATTATTGTGTAAGTATTGTGTGATTATTGTGTAAGTATTGTGTAAGTATTGTGTGAGTATTGTGGGATTATTGTGTAAGTATTGTGTGAGTATTATGTAAGTATTGTGTGATTATTGTGTGATTATTGTGTAAGCATTGTGTGAGTATTGTGTGAGTATTGTGTGAGTATTGTGTGAGTATTGTGTGATTTTTGCGTGAGTATTGTGTGAGTATTGTGTGAGTATTGTGGGATTATTGTGTAATTATTGTGTAAGTATTGTGTGAGTATTGTGTGAGTATCGTGTGATTTTTTCTTGAGTATTGTGTGAGTATTGTGTGAGTATTGTGGGATTATTGTGTGATTATTGTGTGAGTATTTTGTGATTATTGTGTGATTATTGTATAAGCATTGTGTGAGTATTGTGTGAGTATTGTGTGATTATTGTGTAAGTATTGTGGGATTATTGTGTAAGTATTGTGTAAGTATTGTGTGATTATTTTGTGAGAATTGTGTGATTATTGTGTGATTATTGTATAAGTATTGTGTGAGTATTGTATGAGTATCGTGTGATTATTTCGTGAGTATTGTGTGAGTATTGTGGGATTATTGTGTGTTTATTGTGTGAGTATTGTGTGAGTATCGTGTGATTTTTTTGTGAGTATTGTGTGAGTATTGTGTGAGTATTGTGTGATTATTGTGTAAGTATTGTGTGATTATTGTGTAAGTATTGTGTAAGTATTGTGTGAGTATTGTGTGATAATTGTATGATTATTGTGTAAGTATTGTGTGTGTATTATGTAAGTATTGTGTAAGTATTGTGTAAGTATCGTGTGATTATTGTGTGATGATTGTGTAAGTATTGTGTGAGTATTGTGTAAGTATTGTGTAAGTATTGTGTGATTATTGTTTTAGAATTATGTGAGTATTGTGTGATTATTGTTTGAGTATTACGTAAGTATTGTGTGATTATTGTGTAAGTATTGTGTGATTATTGTTTTAGAATTATGTGAGTATTATGTGATTATTGTGTAAGTATTGTTTGATTATTGTTTGAGTATTATGTGGGTATTGTGTGATTATTGTGTAAGAATTGTGTGATTATTGTTTGAGTACTATGTGAGTATTGTGTGATTATTGTTTTAGAATTATGTGAGTATTCCCCGATTATTGTTTGAGTATTACGTAAGTATTGTGTGATTATTGTGTAAGTATTGCGTGATTATTGTTTTAGAATTATGTGAGTATTGTGTTATTATTGTTTGAGTATTATGTGAGTATTGTGTGATTATTGTGTAAGTATTGTGTGATAATTGTGTAAGTATTGTGTGATTATAGTTTGAGTATTATGTGAGTATTGTGTGATTATTGTGTAAGTATTGTGTGATAATTGTGTAAGTATTGTGTGATTATAGTTTGAGTATTATGTGAGTATTGTGTGATTATTGTGTAAGTATTGTGTGAGTATCTTTAGCGTGATGACGTCGTTTGATACATATTTCACTTGAACGTATTGTTTGTTATATGTACCTTATCATATATTATTAGTTATACAGGTCTTTGGCAGGGTACATGGTCTCATGTCGCTGTCAGGACCAAATGTACCGTGAGCCGAAGGCGAAGGGTACATAAGGTCCTGACATCGAACTTGAGACCATGTACCCTGCCAAAGACCCGTATAACGAATTTGTCATACTGCAAAGCCATTTATAGGTTGAGACTTGTGTTTGCCAGAAAACAGATAATGTGTAGGGCGGTAGTACGGGAAAACAGAAAAAACATTTTTTGTATAATTCCAACAATTTAACTCCCTTTATTGCTCAAGTGCTCATGTGCATACAAACTACAGATTACACATCGAGTTACTGTGTAAGGGAGATAACTCTTATTAAACGTTAGGCAAGTTATCTGTAATTCTGTAACATCTCCCTTCCTAGCTAAGTTATCCAATTAACTTTATGAAAATTATTACTCTATCAATTATACAAGATTATTTTTAACAAAGTCCTCCTTAAAACATGTCCTTTTTCACTGTAATTTCTATTTCACTGGAGATTTTGAGTATATCGAAATAATCCTAAACTATTTAAGGTTTTCTATAACTTTCTCAGTTCGATTCACATCAATGTCCTATGTATTCAAATTATATGAAATTTAACCTAACATATCAACATGAAATATTTTTTCCAACATGAAATTAACAAAATGAATTACTCTACTGAGCTTAGGTTAGACTGCCCTGGTCAGAGGTAGATACAGAGGATTATTCTGCCTCCAACACACTCTCTACCTTAAAGTCCTACTCATTATATCTACTCGGAGGCTGGATTACACGGCCACTCACACGACTGATACGCGGTGGTTCACCTGCTGGTACTGGATTAGTGTTAACGTCAGAGTTAGTGTTTTTGACACCCTTTTCAGCAGGAGAAGAAGGTTCAGTCGGCTCGGAGTCAGCATCATGCGAATATGTCGGGAGTTCAATTTCACTCTTTCGATGAAATTGCTCATGAGTTATTAAGATATCCCGTCTGTTCCTCCGGTAGGTTTGGTTATTGGTAGTGCGGACTCTGAACGAAAGTTTGATGCTTTAACCACTTGCGGTGGTTCCCATGTTTTCGAAGTGTCGCTACGCATTCTAACGACATCACCAGAATGAAGAACAGGAACCGATTTTGATGACTTGTCAAATGTTTTTTTGGCTCGCGTTTGTTTCTCTAGGAGTTGACGTTTGACTTTAACATTGTCATAATGCGGTTTCAACAGAGATGCCCTTGTAGGCATCCTTGACCTAGTTTTCCTGCCCATCAATAGTTCGACTGGAGACATATCAAGTCCTGGAATAGTAGTATTGCATAGCTCTAATACTGCTAAATACGGATCCTTGTTGTCCTCTAAAGCTTTTTTCAGTAGCTTTTTGATGGTTTGAATGGTACGCTCTGCGAAACCGTTGCTTTGCGCGTACGTTGGCGAAGAAGTGACGTGTTCGATTCCATACGAAGTTATGAATTTCGAAAATTCTTCACTTTTGTACTCTGGCCCGTTATCAGTTTTGAGCATTTCCGGTATGCCACGGCGTGAAAACTGCTGCTCGAGACAATGAATGACGGTGCTGCTTTTGCCATCTATGAGTTTGTTGATTTAAAAATAAATAAATGAAAAGTAGTCCACTAGCACAATATACCGGTCATTATTGAAGTGAAACAAATCTGACGCTAGGATTTGCCATGGCCTGTCTGGCACATCATGTGGTTTCAAGGGCTCCTTGACTTGCTTGTTTTTATGTCTATTACAAACACCACATTTTGAGATTTTGTCATGAAGTTGAGTTCTGAGTCCTGGCCAAAACACAGACTGTTGTGCGCGCGACATGCACTTTTCTATGCCTAGATGACTTTCATGTAGCTTGTTGATCATTTCCTTTCGCATGCTAGCAGGTATGACAAATACGGTCACTTTTGAGAAGTAGACCCTCGGATATGCAAAGTTCATCACGAAAGTTCCAATACTCCATAACGTCCCTGTCAATATGTGACCTTACGTTAGGCCAGCCGTTCACGACGTAGTCCTTGACCTTTGACAGCACAAGGTCATTGTCTGTTGCGTTAAGTATTTGAGAAGGTTTCTGCTTGCTTACGTCGACCATGAGGTGCACTTCAAATTCCTCGCATATATCGGTAGCTTTGACGTTTCCAACGGGTGCGCGGCTTAACATGTCGGCATTGTATAAGCTTTCACCCGGGCAGTATTTTACGTTCAAATCGTATTGCTACACTATAAGCATCATCATCTGTATGCGTTGAGGAGCTTGCGATAAAGGTTTCTTGTGGCTTGTGATCGGATTTGACGTCTACTTTCTTGCCGTAAGTATACTGATGAAATTAAGTCATCCCAAACACAATGGCCAGCATTTCCTTTTCTATCTGCGCGTAATTACATTACGCAGTGCTTAACGACCTTGAAGCATAAGCAACCGGTTGACTTTCCTGCAAAAGACACGCGCCTAGGCCATATGACGACGCATCGACGGAAATGGTTACCGTCGCGTCCACATCGAAATACTTAAGTACAGGTGCTTGTGTTAAAACGTGCTTTAACTTGGTAAATGCTGCTTGGTGTCGTTCATTTTTGGAACGAATTTTCCGAGGTAGTTTACCATCCCTAAGAAGCGCTGTAGAGATTTCTTGTCCTCCGGAACAGGCATCTCGATTATGCTTTGAATCTTGTCATCGCTTGGTTTAAATCCATCGGCGCCAAATATGTGTCCGACGTACTCGACTTCGGCTCGGCCAAATTCACACTTTTGCTTATTAAGTCTTAGGTCGACCTTTTCACATTGGTTTAACGCTTTTGCTTATTAAGTCTTAGGTCGACCTTTTCACATTGGTTTAACACTTATTCGAGCCTGTCGTTGTGCTCATCTTCATTTGAACCCCAAACGAGAATATCGTCTATGATCACGTCACATCCCTCGAAGTTTTCCAAAATGTGCGATAGAGTTCTTTGAAACACCTCTGGAGCTGATGTGATGCCAAATGGTACACGTTCAAATTTATAACGACCGAAAGGCGTGTTGAAAGTTGTAAGCCACCTACTTTCCTCGGCTAGCTTGATCTGGTAAAACCCCGATGACGCATCCACTTCAGTGAACATTTTCGCAGACTTGAGACTGGCCGCTACGTCTTCAGCAGTCTTTAACGGATAGTGTTCTCGCTTGATTGCCTTGTTGAGATTACGCGGATCTAGACAAATCCTGATGTCACCCGTAGGTTTCCGTACAACAACAATAGGATTGACCCATTTCGTTGGTTGCTCAACTTTGTTCATATCCTCCATTTTCAGAAGTTCCGCTTTGACTTTGTCACGCAACGTGTGTGGAATCCGCCTCGGCGGCTGGACTACCGGCGGTACGGTTTCATCAGTCTCGATTTTATGTTCGCCTGGTAAACATCCAATGCCTTTGAATAACGCACTACGTTTATCTTTGAGTTCATCAGTCGTTGTTTTTTTCTCGGCTGTGCAAACACGCTGAATTAAACCTAGTTCGACACTGCTGTGGAGACCTAATACTGGAATAGCTGCACTATCAACGACTTGTACTTTATTTATTTATTTATTTATTTATTAATTTCCAATTCAACAGACCTAAGGGTCCACTAACAGAATGGAACAACATTACAACACTAGTATAAAATATCACAGTCAGTTATGCATGTAACACAGACTGAAAGATACTCATATGTAAAACAAAAGGAATTAGTGATAGCAAATATTCTTTAACCGTACTTTGAACTCGGCGAGAGAGGAACAAAAAATATCACAGTCTAGTGCAAAAACAAGATAGTTAAAATTACTTTGAATCCTGTTTAAAATAGTGTACTTTCTAACGTTTATTCTACTTCACTGGCAGTAAAACTGGTTAAAACAAATTGATCGTAGATCACGACCAGGGACTAAAAAACACATTGTACCTCAATGACGTGATATTTGTCACGGTATCAAATAGCAACGTTGGCCTTGTTTTGATGCGATGTCCGGTGTACGAGACGAGTTTGGCTCGCGTTTTGCGTATGTGTGCTACTCCAGCTTTTTCACATATGTATTTTGGTACCACGTTGCAGTGTGCCCCGCTGTCAATCTTGATACGTACTTTGGTTTTGTTGATTTTGACATCCACAAGCCATTCGGAGTCCGGTGTGGTACACTCACTTTTGGCCATGACTGTACCTATGAAGAATGAATCGGATTCAGAGTCACTGTCCGAATATTCACAAACATGAACATTGCGTGCATCTTGTAGACACATGTGTGTAATATGATGCCAACGTTTACACTTCCCACATGTGGTTCCATACGCTGGGCAGTTTTTTGGACCCCTTTGGTGAGATTTTCCACAATATTTACACTTCCATTGCGGCGGAGGTTTTTGCGCTTGACTGATATTTTCCTTCTGGTTTAACTGCGATTTATGCGATTTATGCGATTTATGCAGTTTTTTTGGCGGTTTAGAATCTCGGTATGCACCGTGCGTATATTTATGCCTAGCCCCTTGACCATGATTCATAGCATGAACCGTTTTTTCATCGGATAGTTCCTTAAGATGAACTCCGCTAGCTTCCGACGCTCTGCAAATGTCTATAAATTTTTGTAATGGCAAGTCTTTCTCTCTGAGAAGCCTGGATCTGACTGAGTCACTATTAATCCCCCAGACAATGCGATCACGAATAAGACCTTCCCTCAACGTGTCAAATTCGCACGTGGAAGCTTTATTACGTAATTCCGTCACATAGGCATCAAATTTCTCGCCGTCCCTCTGATTTCGAGTGTTGAAAACGTGCCTTTCATAAGTAACATTCCTTCGGGGATTGCAGTAATATGCAAACTGTTCACAAATTGCAGTCAAATTAAGTTTGTCATCCTGATCTGCCCATGTAAACGTGTTGTAGATTTCGAGAGATTCTGGATCTACCACGTGCAGAAAAGTCATTGACCTGATTTTGTCATCTTTCTGGTCATTTCCCGTCGCTGTCTCGTAAATCTGGAATTGTTGCTTGAACTTACGCCAGTTCTCTGCAAGATTGCCGATAAGATTTAAAGGCGCTGGTGGCAATAACTTGTCCATTTTGCCGTTTTGCTTCTGACACCATGTTACAACATCAACACAAACATGGCGGGTGACATTAAACTCCCTTTATTGCTAAAGTGCGCATGTGCATACAAACTACAGATTACACATCGAGTTACTGTGTAAGGGAGATAACTCTTATTAAACGTTAGACAAGTTAGCTGTAATTCTGTAACAAGTGTAGCCCGTTTTGTCTCAATTTCACTCTCCGTTCGGCTTGCAAACCGTTTCGCCATATTGTTGATTTTTGACATTAGCAGACGAACGTTCTCCGGTGTGTTCGATTCGAATCTTCGAGTTATGTCCCTTACAACAGGCGCGCGTGCTCTTGAGTACCCCGGCAAGGATACTAACATCGCTTCAGGTACCTTGGCAATTCGACCAACCACCGTGCGACATTTTTCTTTGCAGTATGACAAAACGTATTGTTTGTTATATGTACCGTATTAAATCTAACGTATTGTTTGGTATATGTACCGTATTATATATAACGTATTGTTTGCAATATGTACCGTATCATATATAACGTATTGTTTGTTATTTGTTATATGTACCGTATTAAATCTAACGTATTGTTTGGTATATGTAACGTATTATATATATCGTATTGTTTGTTATATGTACCTTATTATATCTAACGCTTTGTTTGTTATATGCATCGTATTATATATAACGTATTTTTTGTTATATGTACCGTATTAAATCTAACGTATTGTTTGGTATATGTACCGTATTATATATAACATATTGTTTGTTATATGTACCGTATTATATCTAACGCTTTGTTTGTTATATGTATCGTATTATATATAACGTATTGTTTGTTATATGTACCGTATTATATATAACGTATTGTTTGTTATATGTACCGTATTATATATAACGTATTGTTTGTTATATGTACCGTATTATATATAACGTATTGTTTGTTATATGTACCGTATTATATATAACGTATTGTTTGTTATATGTACCGTATTATATATAACGTATTGTTTGTTATATGTACCGTATTATATATAACGTATTGTTTGTTATATGTACCGTATTATATATAACGTATTGTTTGTTATATGTACCGTATTATATATAACGTATTGTTTGTTATATGTACCGTATTATATATAACGTATTGTTTGTTATATGTACCGTATTATATATAACGTATTGTTTGTTATATGTACCGTATTATATATAACGTATTGTTTGTTATATGTACCGTATTATATATAACGTATTGTTTGTTATATGTACCGTATTATATATAACGTATTGTTTGTTATATGTACCGTATTATATATAACGTATTGTTTGTTATATGTACCGTATTATATATAACGTATTGTTTGTTATATGTACCGTATTATATATAACGTATTGTTTGTTATATGTACCGTATTATATATAACGTATTGTTTGTTATATGTACCGTATTATATATAACGTATTGTTTGTTATATGTACCGTATTATATATAACGTATTGTTTGTTATATGTACCGTATTATATATAACGTATTGTTTGTTATATGTACCGTATTATATATAACGTATTGTTTGTTATATGTACCGTATTATATATAACGTATTGTTTGTTATATGTACCGTATTATATATAACGTATTGTTTGTTATATGTACCGTATTATATATAACGTATTGTTTGTTATATGTACCGTATTATATATAACGTATTGTTTGTTATATGTACCGTATTATATATAACGTATTGTTTGTTATATGTACCGTATTATATATAACGTATTGTTTGTTATATGTACCGTATTATATATAACGTATTGTTTGTTATATGTACCGTATTATATATAACGTATTGTTTGTTATATGTACCGTATTATATATAACGTATTGTTTGTTATATGTACCGTATTATATATAACGTATTGTTTGTTATATGTACCGTATTATATATAACGTATTGTTTGTTATATGTACCGTATTATATATAACGTATTGTTTGTTATATGTACCGTATTATATATAACGTATTGTTTGTTATATGTACCGTATTATATATAACGTATTGTTTGTTATATGTACCGTATTATATATAACGTATTGTTTGTTATATGTACCGTATTATATATAACGTATTGTTTGTTATATGTACCGTATTATATATAACGTATTGTTTGTTATATGTACCGTATTATATATAACGTATTGTTTGTTATATGTACCGTATTATATATAACGTATTGTTTGTTATATGTACCGTATTATATATAACGTATTGTTTGTTATATGTACCGTATTATATATAACGTATTGTTTGTTATATGTACCGTATTATATATAACGTATTGTTTGTTATATGTACCGTATTATATATAACGTATTGTTTGTTATATGTACCGTATTATATATAACGTATTGTTTGTTATATGTACCGTATTATATATAACGTATTGTTTGTTATATGTACCGTATTATATCTAACGTATTGTTTGTTATATGTACCGTATTATATATAACGTATTGTTTGTTATATGTACCGTATTATATATAACGTATTGTTTGTTATATGTACCGTATTATATATAACGTATTGTTTGTTATATGTACCGTATTATATATAACGTATTGTTTGTTATATGTACCGTATTATATATAACGTATTGTTTGTTATATGTACCGTATTATATATAACGTATTGTTTGTTATATGTACCGTATTATATATAACGTATTGTTTGTTATATGTACCGTATTATATCTAACGTATTGTTTGTTATATGTACCGTATTATATAATACCGTATTGTTTATTATATGTACCGTATTATATATATAGCATCGTGAATTACTTAATAGCATTGCATTTTTTTACCTGTGTAATATAACAGTTTAGCTCTACCATGGGTAAACATGAAATAACTCTGTATTAGGTATTATACATGTTATATTACTAGTAAGTGTATGCTATCATACATGTTATATTACTTGTAAGTGTATGCTATCGTATATGTTATATTACTAATAAATGTATGCTATCATACATGTTATATTACTAGTAAGTGTATGCTATCATATATGTTATATTACGAGTCAGTGTATGCTATCATATATGTTATATCGCTAGTAAGTGTATGCTATCATATTTGTTATGTTACTAGTTATATGTTTCACACAGCACACTTATCTCGTGTTAGGTTTCACAAGTGATTTATTTCGGGTATATAAATGATAAATATACATATATAACATTACACATATAACAACAAATATGTCTTTCACACCATCACACATACGTTTTACCGATAATAAAGCATACATAATAATGCATACATGAATTATCATCGGTAATTATATTATCGGTAGAACGTGTGTGTGATGGTGTGAAAGACATATTTGTTGTTTCATGTGTAAAGTTATATATGTATTTATTATTTATAGGTTCTTTATATATTTATAACGAACACATATTAAACGTCTGGTTACATATGCATTGTAATATTAGGAAATATATTATATATAATTATGTGTAATATTTATTGCAATACAAGGAAGTATATCATTGAATTTGCGTCCTCGGTTAATTTATCTTTTCTCGGGTCGATAAATCCAGGTATCGACCAAAGTTAAATGCTTCAATTGTTTCATTATTTTCAAAACAGTGATGTAAGCAATCTGACAAAATGACAAAACAAAAGCTTCGGAAGCGGGACGGCACCGTTCGTTTTGAAACACGTCATAATTTTATTTTTAGAAACACCAAGTCCTTTAATACAAGAATTCCACGGAAGTGGATGTGCCGCCTGCGCAGAAAGCTGGGAGATTACGAAGAAATAGATACACTTTTCATTTCAAGAAACAATGTTAAAAGTAAGCAATAATGTAAGCAATATGTTTTTGGATGGCATCATTTTGTTATATAATCTGTTATTCTGGGAAGAATACTCTGAGATTTAAGGAACTTGCTATGGATACTCATTGTCTCAATTCCAAGTTTAATTTGTATGATTTGTCGGATGGTTTCCCATAAATAAATGAATAAACTTGTGGATTATGATGTTAAACAGCTAGTGTTGTCAATAACATTTGGAGTAAGACGGCATTGAGTTTTAAGGAACTTGCTATGGTTACTCATTGTCTCAATTCCAAGTTGAATTTGTATGATTTGTCGGATGGTTTCCCATAAATAAATGAATAAACTTGTGGATTATGATGTTAAACAGCTAGGGTTGTCAATAACATTTGGAGTAAGACGGCATTTCAGAGGTATACACGGTGGGTCAAGTGGTAGATCGAAGCCGTCCAGTATACAGTTTTAGTGAAGTTTCTATCTATAATGACAGTGACCTTGACCTTTGACCTTCGGACATGAAAAGCAATCCCAAGCAAGCACTTTTGGTAAGGAAGCACTGCATGAAGTTTGAGTTTGATCGGCCCAAGGAAACTCAAGTTATCGCACGAAAACCTCTGTTCGGACGACGCCGCCGACACCGACGACGCCGACGCCGACATAGCAATACCTATGTACATGTGTCACCAGCTTTTCGCAGGCGACACAAAAAATCACGCGATCCAGGTCAATATATGTTTTTATCAGTGGACACGTGATGCACTTCTGGCCAATCGCTTGTCGGGAATATTATGAAAAATAATAATATTTTATATCCTATGTGTTATGCATATTGTATGTTATATTATGTGTAATATGTATTGTAATTTGTAATATAAGGAATGTATATTGTATTACTAGTTAGTATATAATATGCAGTATGTATTGTAATATTAGGAAGTATGTTATATTTTATGTGTAACTTGTATTGTTTAATTATGCAGTCTACATCGTGTAGTATGTTGGAGTTACTCCCCCTTACCTGTGTACAATGGGTTTCGGATTTCGGCGGGTTAAAAGTGCCATAAGTCAACAACTCATCAGTGCTTCTCCCATTTATAAAGTAAGCTAGTCACAAGGTACTGATATATTAGTTACAAAGTAGCACACTCGACCTAGTATTCCTGTCTCCATAG